AGCCCCTGTGCGGTTCGCAGCCCCTTCCTCCTCCCCACTTTCCACAGGGATTCATCCCCCTCCCCCTTTTCCACTCGAGTTGGAGTGGAGCGAGCTCTTGAGCTCTTTTTTTTTTTTCTTCTTCTTCTTCTTTTTAAGAAAGCGGGTTTCTTATGCTTGTTATTCTATCTCTTTTTTATTAATTATGTATATCGTGTGAATCGATTGATAATCCAATTATGTTTCTCTATGAGAAACGAGGAATTTCTCGAGGGTTATGTATTTGCTCGATTATATTGATAATAATTTATTATTATTGGCAAGTGTGTGGTATGCAAGTTTCTGTTTGGGGCCTCTTTTCCTCTGGTCGAGGTGAATGATTGAAGAGGGTTATTTTTCTCAAGAAATAACGAACGATTCGAAATTCAGGATTATCGTTCAACTCTCTGCATTCTTCGCCATTTTCCTTTTTTCTCGCCTATTTATTTTTGATCGAATTGTGAAAAAATTTCTCCTCCACCAACACGATTCTTTTTTCTTCAATAGGTTCTTTAATAGGTTTGGAAGCTCTTTTCTTATTTAGTTTTTCTTATTTAGAATTAATCCTCCAGTCTCTCCATTCTCTCCCTCCGCCATATGTTTATTCGAATGATTGATATTAGTTGATGGATGTAAAAAAAATTTGTTTCAATATAGTTCTTTTTCTTTAACATTTAATAAATTTGAAATCTCTTTTCTTTAAAACCCATCTATGTCGAAAAATGAGCAATTATCGAAGAATTCGGAATTTATCTCTCCATTCTCCGCCATTTTTCTTTTTCCCTCGTACAATAAAATAATTTTATATACAATACAATTAAAAATTTTATATGTATAAAATATACATTTTATATGTATATTTATAAAAAAATACAAATTTTATATGTTTATTATTTTATACAAATTTTATATGTATAAAAAAAATTGCCAATATTTCTTTCCTTAAACTTTTTCTTTAATAGATTTGGAACCTGTTTTCTTATTCTTCTCCCCATCACAAATACCCCATAATTCGTCAAATCACGAAACATATCATCGATTCAGAATTTATCTCTTCCTAGCCATTCTTTCTCATCAATAAATTGATAAAAATTCGCAACGATAATTATATTCAAACTAAATATAGAAAAATTTGTCGTCAATACAATTTTTTCTTATTCTTATTCTCCTCTCCATCCCAGAAATACCCCATAATACGTCAAACCAGGAAAGATATCACGTCATCGATTCAGAATTTATTCTCTTCCTAGCCCCATTCTTTCTCAACGATCGGATAAAAATTCGCAACCACGGGTTTACGAGCGTCTCTAACGAAATTATATTTCTATCGGTGTATAAATAAAAAAAGAAAATTTATCCAATACCAGATCTCCCTTGGTTGGTTCGACCAGGGGACGGATGATACGGAGAGCCACATATTAATCCATCGATGAATATGCAATATGGTCCGGGACGGGAGACAAAGTGAAGCAAACGACACGAGGGTGTCGTTTGTGGGTGGAACGTCGGTAGGCATTCCAATTACTCCCCTCTTCCTCCCCTCTTTGGTAATTAAATCAACAGGGAGGGTAATCAACGAAGACTGGCCACCAATTCTCCTCTCTCTCTCTTTCTTTCTCTCTCCCTTCTCTGTTGAATTTTTTCCCCAATAAATATATTTGTCTTCTTTCTTCGATAAAAATGGTAAATTGATCTCTCTCCCTCCTTCCCCTCCTTTTTTTTCCCTCGATTTTTTTCCTAATAAATGTATAGAAAATCGTTCCAAGATGTCGCCTTGTCTTCTTTCTTCGAGGATAGTAAATTCTCAATTGATCTCTCCTCTTCCCTTCTTTGGTAATTAAATCAAAAGGCTAATCGACGAAGGCTAGCTACCAATTCTTTCTCTCTCTCCTCCTCTCCATCAATTTTTTTTCCCAATAAATATATAGAAAATTGTTCCAAGATGTCATCTCGTTCTTCGACAAGAATGGTAAATCCTCAATTAATTTCTGCCTTCTTCCTCCCTTTGTCAATTTTTTTTCCCAATAAATGTATAGAAAATTAATTGTTCCAAGATGTCGTCTTGTTTTCTTTTTTCGATAAGAATGGCAAATCTTCAATTGATCTCTCCTCCTCCTCCCCCTTTCTTTGGTAATTAAATCAAAAGGAAAGGTAATCGACGAAGACTAGCCACTAATTCTCTCTCTCTCTCTCTCCTCCTTTTTGTCGAATTTTTTTTCCAATAAATATATGGAAAATCGTTCCAAGATGTCGTCTTGCTTTCTTCGACAAAAATGGTAAATCTTCAATTGATCTCTCTTCTTCCTTCTCCTCTCTCTCTCTTTGGTAATTAAATCAACAGGCAGG